TCCTCAGGATGGACCCCAGTGGGAGCAAATAAAGTGAGAACAGAAGGTGTCCAAGAATCGAACCCTGTGGGACCCCACGAGAAATAGGTAATGAGGCGGATATATTATTACCAACCTTGACACATAAACTCCTGCCACTCAGGTATGAGCGGAACCATTCTAATGCAGCACCTGTGATCCCAACCCACTGTTCCAGCCGTGATATAAGGATACTGTGGTCAACAGTATCAAAAGCAGCAGTAAGGTCCAGTAGCACAAGTACCACAAATTGACCAGAATCGTTTGATATCATAATGTCGTTACAAACCCTCACTAATGCTGTTTCAGTGCTGTGGAGTTGCTTAAAACCAGATTGAAAAATTTCGAAGATTCTGTTCTCATTCAAAAACTTGTTTAACAGAATGAAAACTATTTTCTCCAGGATTTTGGACAGGAAGGGAAGTTTTGAGATTGGTCTGAAATTTGAGCAAGTCGAAGGGTCAAGTCCAGGTTTCTTAATTAACGGATGAACTACTGCATGTTTGAAAACATGGGGAACCACACTTGTCACAATACTAATATTTATAATAGTAAGAACAGAGGGTCCAATCGTGGGTAGAACTTGTTTGAAAAACGACGCAGGAATGGGGTCAGCGGGGGAACCGGAGGGTTTCATCTGGCCAACAAATTTGTTTATAAATGGGAGTGAAATGGGTTCAAACTGTTTAAAGACAGCTGAGCAAGGGACAAAGACAAAGGGATCAGTTGTGGACTGGGGGAAAGATTACCTAATCAACTCTACCTTATCAGCAAAGTATCTGGTAAAGTCGTTGCAGATGTCAACAGAGGCCTCCATGCTGGCAGACCGAGGCACGTTTAAAATGGAATTTACGGTATTAAAAAGAACACTGGGATTATGACTGTTTGAAGCAATGATTTGGGAGAAGTATTTGTTCTTTTCAGATTTAACGATGCTCTGATAATCTTTCAAACATGTTTTTAACATAATAAAAGAAACCTGTAATTTGTCCTTTTTCCACTTGTGTTCAGCTCTCCTGCATAGACGTTTGGCCGCTCGAGTGGTTGCGTTCAACCAGGAGTGTGGTGACCGCTTTGGTCGCCTGACTTTTAGCGGGGCCACGAGGTCTACAATCTTAGAGCAGGTCGCATCATGCCTACTAAGCAGCTCCTGCGTACTAATGTAGATGAACAGATGCTGCAAAATATTCATCAATTAAAACGGATTCCTCATTTTTCTGGACTGAATAAAACGTGCATTGAATTTAATGAAATGCAAACGTGAGACGTCATTTATCTTTGACCCATCAAAATGAATGCGGTCATTTATTTACAGAATCAAAGTTTAACATCAAACATTTACATTAATTTGGCAAAATATGAAAATAACAACATAATCAATCAATCAGGAAAACCATACGGCCATGATTTTCCGTTGCTTCACCACAGACATTTCTGAAAACTGTACAATTATGATCAAT